AAACGGTGGCTCTCCCTCTACATTTGACGGATAATGTGTACAAGTATTTAATGTATTTTTTTAGCAATTTGTTTTTATAATTCATCCAAAGCGATATATTATGAAATTAAATTAATTACTCAATAAGTATTAATAAGTAAATGTTGTTCAAATTATATCGTGTTTGATCTCATTTTCATCAGAAAAATCTCACCATGTTAAAAAAAATTTCAGATGAAAAATAGTAAAATTAAAGAAATTATATTTTTCTATTATGAATTGTCGAGCCGTGAAATCTCGTAAAAGAAACCGAGTGGTGTAGCGTTACACGCTTGACTGACAGCGAGCGAGATAACATAGGCGCAGCAATGACGCAGACCTAGGCGTAGGACCATCTATACTGACACTTGTAGAATCCAAACTGGCTGACACTTGTAGAGACATTACTGTATATCTTTTCCACATCTACCACGAGTCGAACGATAATAACGTACTGATCGAACTAGAAGTCTCGCTGCAAGAATTCGAGTCACATTCTCCATGGACTCATAGGTAAGCCCACCTCCAGCATACGGAACTGCTACTTCGAGCAACCGAGTAAACAAAGAGACGATGAGAAGCTCCAAATTAAAAATGAAACCAAGACGACTACGATTAGAAGCGACCATCTTCACATTAAATTAAAAGTTCGGGAACAAACGTTGATTCATAAACGAATATGTGTATGCGTGCGTGACGAGTTGACATGTTCACTACCACCTGAAAATCATAAGAGGCATGTTCCAGTGATTCGTAATCTCAATCAGGGCCGCACGCATACGTTGTCTCAGCGTTCAATGAAAAATTCGTAGTGGTAGTCGTCCGTCTCAGAGTGACAATATCAATTTGTGATGTCGCAGCTGTGACCGATTGATAGACCATCGACGCTGACACACAAGGTATAACATTCTGTGTCGACGCTGCTTCGACAGTGGCAGCGAACGTATTAAGCAGCCCACCTAGACTTCATCTTTTCTACCGCTTATGTATCGACATTGGCGATAATAACTGCTACAGTCAGCTAGCTCACCCTGATTCTGTCTTTCCGTCGCCTGAAATTAGGATATCGAGCAGCAATCCTGCCTAGATTTCGGTGATACTTGATCACGTATGTGATTCGCGGTAGAATTAAGACATTCGATTTATCTACGTATCTCGACACTTCGTAAGTGAATGTCTACACAGTTACACTCTGCATCCCTACCTTTTCAAATCTTCAAGTATATTTTACTATATTCAATAAACTTGTAAAAAAGAACAGCTAGCAATCTTTGAAATACTGACGAAGCAAACTCTTATGTTGCTCTAATCTCAATAAAAAATCAGAGAACCAAGAATCGGACTAACTAAGGGAAAGATGCAGCAAACTTAGTTAAAATCGAATATTCAAACAAATCACAGTATTTATAACTCTTCACATTTTCTACGTTCGATATGTCGCATATCGTAGGACAGTGTCGAAGAAGCAGTGATAATAGATAGTCATAAAGAAAAAATGATATTTCTATAAATAATAAGATTTGCGAAGAAAAATTGCAACTTAGTGTCTTGCAACAAAAAATTGATGTCAAGAACCCAATACTGAAATTTTGATTGTTAAGTTAAGTGGACAATTTGTACGTCAAGAATTTCTAGAAGAAAAACCCTTAATATATTCTATTGAAACAACGCCCAACATCTTTGCACAAAGTAATTTGACATTTCCGATTACAGTACTTTTTAGATTTATTACAGAAGATACTTTTACAACGATATCCATTCCACCCTTTAGTCTTGTTAAACTACATAGATACATAGTCTTCTAATTACTATGGGTATATAAAGTGTGGTCAATCATTTATCTTTGCTCTATGTATACAGACTATACTTGGAATAGATTAATAAAAAGAGAAATAATAACTTTACTCCTTTAAAAAAGATATTTCAAGAAATTACAATAGACGAGATGTTTTGTTTGTTTTAGAAAAGGTGATTTTTTTCTGAAACAGTAATTGATATGTCCGGAAAATACGGAGTACTAATAAGAATATTGATAGATTCGAAAACGGGATATGTATTAAGTATGGAGGCGTTGTGCAGCTCTAAAGATAGATGCGGGAGACAATAAAAATCTTGCAGCAATAATTGGTTAACTTGTTGAACAGGTAACAATTTTTTTACGAAATACAACTACTAATCGAGATTACACATCAATAGATTCGGTTGAAGAATTCTACTCAGAATTTGGTCTTATCATGGTTAGTGCTTTGCATAAAAATCAGACATTCCAAATGTACTAAAAATTTTACAGACTACAAAATATTTTTATTTTTCTGTATTCGCTTTTACTAATGCAGAATCACTAAAACCATCCTTAACATTAATTTCTTAGGAAAGAGACGATATAAATCTATTTTACAATGAAGTAAAAAGATGTGTTAACACATATGATGTTATTTTGTTAGCTCAAAGATGACCTCTTTCAATATTTTATACACTTATTGACTATTGCTTTTTTAAACATTTCTTCCTTGCCTATCATAAGAGGAGGATTCTTCTACAGCAATTAAGCAATGAAGTAATAAAAAGAAAGAAGCTAGTTATCCATAGAAGTTTAAACTCGGCACGTTTCCAAAAAAATCATAAATGCTATAAAAAATACAAAGTGATTCATAACTACAAATTAACCGGGCAGAGTGTAATCAGGACGGATGAAGAAAACATTTTTTCTTTAATAACCTTATGTCCGACACTTCACTTTATTTTTAAATAATGAGGCTTTAAAAGTGTAAACTATCCAGTTCCATACTTATGAGAATTGTAAACTATTAATAGTAATTAAACTTTAAATGTAGGAATAAAATACATTATCTCTATAACAAATGATATGCAACTTATTACTCAAAACTTCACTGATACTCTACAGAAGGACGGGGGCGGCACTCCTGCTTATCTTCCGGAGCGGCCAGTACATGACAGGTTGTTTATTAACATGCCCCTGAAATTTGCATATTCAAAGCTTTTTATTTAAAAATAAAGCGAGATCGGACGCATGATTATTAAATAAACAATGTTTCTATCGTGGCCCCATGCTACCCGTCTGTTCGATTTATCTGTAGTTCTAAATCACACTCTATAACGAGAAAAACAAAATATGAAAACAATAAGGCATAAGAAACCTAATTGAAGAAAATGATATCACGTACAATGGAAGTTAAACACAAAAGAATGAAATAACGATTTGTGAAAACCAGAACAAAGTTATTACAAATGCAAAAACCATAGCCACAGAAAACATTCAATAAATACGATACTTCGTCATTCATATCTGACGACTTTGTGGTATCTAAGTATAGCCAATTCTATTATTCTATTATATAAATGAATGCTCATAAAAAGAAACTGAGTTGAACAATTTGTCATTTATTTTGGAGGATAATATTACTCAACTATTATATATTTTCTCTCGTGAAAATGGTTTTCTTTTAATAACAGTGTATAAAAATTGAATGAGCTCGACGAAACCCTTCTACCTCTCAAGTTTCGATACATGTTAAAAAAACTTGCAAAGCAATTACACCTGATACTCTTTGTTTGTCATTCATTTTGACACTATTAGGAAAAATATGGCGATACAAACGGTTATTGTAACTTTGAACACATATTCTATACTTCAGGGATGAAAGTCGCCTTCGGATAACTTTTTTACAGATCACTGTTTGTCAACTACTTCATAGCACTAAGATATAAGGTACCACTTAAAGAACTCAACGTCACCATAATATGTCAGAAAACAAATCTTTCGACAGACACCATTGAATACCTGTTTCATATATAACAATTTTTGTTACAATTAATAAATAAATTATTTCTTGTGGCAATTATTATTGACTCGCTCTATGTGCCTTATACTTAATTCACTTTAAAAAACATGTAATTTTATATTGAATAATTTTTTAACTCATAACATCAATTCTAATATATGTTTTAATTAAATCAAGCAATACAAAGAAAATGTTGGAAAAACAATTGTAAAATTTATAGTATAGAAAGTTAGCACTGGTAATAATGTAATATTGTGAGTTGAGTAATTATATTACTTTATGGAATCACAAGTTGAACTGATACTTTTTCAATTGGTTTCTTTAATAATCATTATATTGAAATCATCATAAACATAAGAAGTACTGATACTATTATACCAATTCCAGCTAGCTTTTAATGTGCAATTTTAATACATAGAATTAAAAGTAAAAAATTACTCTCAAATCATATATTTATTGCTGTGTTGCACAACAATGATTAAGTACTTTATCGTAAGTGGATTTAATTAAGAGGGATACGATATAGAACTAGTCTTCAAGCTAAATTGTATCTGTTAGGAATATACACACTTCTATCTATGACAATATTGCGAATATAATGTAGAAACATGTTATTCAACACATACACATTATCAAAAGTAATTATAAGAAAATGTCAATTTAAACTTTCATAAAAAATGTTTCATTAAAACATGATTATTTTGTTCTTTGTAACTTCCAATATATCATTATCATATTAAATTATGAATGACAAATTTTAGGTTTGAAATTATTCATATTTTTTGCATATACAACTTATAACAAATGTCTGTATATATGAAATATAAAATTCAACGTATCCCTTCATTCACAAATCCATATGTTACACGTTATAAGAATTACACAAAATTAGTCAATTTTTTATATATACAAATTATTTAATACTGTGAATACATATAAATATAAAGCCCTTAGTTGTGCTTCCATTAACTACATAGTTAACAGAAAATACAAGAATGCTTTCTATATATAATATTTTAAATTTTTCATTGATATCTGTATATGTATATTGATCAAATATAACCTTATCTAGCTATATTTCCCTATTCTTTTAACTCATACATATCTTGTACTTCTGACTTATCCTATACTATGGACATTTTATTTCATAAATTAAAAAGTAACGTGGAAGGTTCTGGTCATTTTTATTAACTAACTCTTAAAACATTACAACTTAAATAATTAATTAACGTAGATCACCTACAAAAATGCTAACTGATTTTTTATATACCTGGTTCTCTCGTCAATTCATTAATTTCATTTCATATTAACATTTTTCCATGCATTTTCCCTCTTATATCCTGAGATTTTTAATCTATATAAGAACCACCTTGCTTATTGTGAAATAAAAGTTATCAATATATCAAAACCTAGATTCTTACATATACTGCTATATCAATATATTTTATTAAATTAGAGAAACAATCGTGCTCTCCAACGTCTAATGTATAGTCCTAGATCTATAGTCATTTTTGAAGATGTTACAGAAGTAAATATGACAAAGTGTTACACAGTTTAATATTTGGATGGCACGGATGTATCCCTAGCCATAGTAACTGAATAATCAAATTAACACATATCTTGCTTTCTAATAGCGACGATAGTAATACGTTAATTGTTTTTTTTGTTTTTTTTTTTTGGATATCATATGTGCTGCACAATGAGTTCAGGCACAGTCTAGAAAATTGTGATGTAATATTTTCACATAAATGATTGAATATGTAAGATATATGCGATAAGTGCTAGATACCAAAAGAAATACAAGCAAAAGCCTCCCTCACTGTGATCTATTAAGATGACGCTTCTCTGTCCTGTATCCTGATTGTCCTGCCTGGTCTTGTCTCTAGCCTTATAGCCCTGCCTGCTCCAATACTAAACAGTACAGAAGTACTGGCGACTAGAAGACAAGTAGTAGGTTCACCTGAGGTTTAAAAGTCATAAATCTATTAGTTAAGATGATTGAAAATACTCAAATTGTAAAAATCTATAAGTTTTGAGTTAAAAATCAAATATTATATTATATATTATTGTGAAATATTTCCTTTACTATTTCTTGTTGTATTACAAAATATACAATAATTTCTTTATATTACGCAATTATAATATTATTCAATTAGAAAGGACATATAGCATAAGCAAACAATGCTGTACTTTACTACTGAAGATCAATTTTGTATACTTGAGATAATTAGCAAATCAACAATAACTTAATTATTTAATAACAAACTATTTTACATTATTTAAATCTCTTTATAAAGAGAAAATAAAATTCTACAATTAATTAAATTGTATGCAAAATGTATAACCTGTTTTAGTTAAATATCTGAATACTTGGTACCAAATAGTTGGCAATATTGAAAACAAGTTATTCATTAATAATTTACTTTAATAAACATATAAAATAAGTGACATAGTTGAATAAGGTATTTTTTATATCTGTTATATAGTATCACACAAATAAATTTGGACAAACTATATGCATTTGACTTGTAGTTTGTACTAACTTTGCAAAGGTTTTTCATTCTTACATACTTACTAGTTATCATTCATTATTTACTACATATATAAAAAATGTAAAGAAAGATTATTTTCTAACTTTATTAGGGCAAAAGTATTCAGACATTTTGTACTGTATCTTCTGTTTTATGGTACAAACACTACTTTCATCTATATTTCAATGAAGTTGTATACCTTTAACTTTTTTACTATAGAAAATTAAAAGATATTCATGCACTATGTATATATAAGACTTTAAAGTTATTGAAATTATTTATATGATATTATTATCTAATTCTATCATATTAATGTAGATAAAATAATTTCATTCGTGTAAATTCTAGTAGTGATAAATACAGTAACAGCTAACAATTATATAATATTAAAACACTATTTATAGATAAACAACTATAATCACATTTAATAGGAAACAAGTAAATAAATAAATAAATCTATATTAGAAGCATTAATAAACATTTAAAATATAAATTCAAAAGTTAAGAGGAAGTAATTCAATTAATTAATAAATTAAATAGCTTATAAATTGAAGCTATGTCTTTTTTGAGTTATTTACAAGATAACTAAAATACATAATATTTCCAATTTCAGTATTAATAGTAAAATGCATTGATAATTGCATCATTAATAACTATTAAATGTATTCATGTTAGAATATACTTAAAACCAAAAGTAAGTAACAAAAGTTTTCAAAAATAACTTTTATACCATATTATAATAACAATTCATTAGAAATAACAAACTTTAATTAATAGTATATATGTTTCTCAATCCTTAGTAATGACTATTATAAAACAATGAATTTTCTTTTGTATAAATACTCTACAGAACAACTTCATGAAAAATAATATAGAAAGATGCACAAAGAAAAATTATTACAATGATATCTATAAACAAAATATGTAAGGAACAACCCTAAACTAAATTTAGTTAACTCAAAATTTTTGTCCAATAGACTTAAATTTATAAAAAACTATTAATTGAAATATATATTAGATTAAAATCAAGTATATTGTTTAAATAGTGTCACCTTATGTAATGTCACTTTAAATATTTATGCAATACTTGATATGTGATAAGAGAAAAAGTTTGCCCAAAAACATTTATCTGGTACTATATGTCATTATAAAATCTTTTCATATTAACTCAATGTAATTTTTGAATTATATATACATTTATATAAACATCAATTAAAAATACCTACATGGTTATATTATTTATGCCCAAACTTTAAAAACATTTTATGTTCAATCAGTTCATATGATTCTTAATGTATTTTAAATACCAAAAAATAAATAAATAAAGGAAAATAAAATTATGCAGCAGAACATTAGGTCAAACATAATCAGTCTTTACAACAGAGTAAGTAATTTGGCATTGGTATTGCCAATTATTTGGTACAATTTGTATGTTAATTATATAACTTTCACTTGAAATAATTTATGTCCAAAGTACTTTTGTAATGTTTATATAAAATTTATGTAAAAATTGCTTCCCTTTTTGATCTTTTTAATAAAAAAGAAAATCATTTTATATACTTAATTGTGATAAGCACAAGT